GTGTTTACACGGCGATTACGCAAGCGTCCGAATTCATACCGAGCTCGAATTCATTAATTAACACATCCATTCCGACGAGAAAAGTTCCTGCTTTTTCTTCTTGTTGGAATCGAAACAACAATGCTAATCTGATATCGATATCCTTGAATACACAAAATTATAGTCTTCGGGTTTAAACTGACGAACGTAAACAAGCGCAAACCTCAATGACGCTTTTTTTTGTGTGTAGAGCGTCATATAATTAGCAGCAGCCACACCCGAATCTCGGATTCGATCACTTTCTCAGCAGGAAAATCGTTGCGTTTCCACGCTGTAATGAAAAAATCCAGTTTCACAATTCAAGTGTGAAGAAACAATAAACGCTATCTGACAGCTTTGTTCCCAGACTTTTCCGGTATTATCAGAGATTTAGCTGCCGCAACAATAAAATAAAGCTTCTTGCGGTGCACATATCTCTCGGACGTGACACAGAAGACATAATGCGCCAGATAACAACACTATAGTGTCTCTGGAACAGCGCGTTTACATGTCTTTACCGACGCGCAGATAGAGCCGTCAGGTTTTTACAAGAGGCGAACGTATTTTTCTGGTTATTATTTGTGATTGTTTGAACTGCGGAAACGACAAATGCTCAGCTGTGCAGCTGTGCTTAAAAGCTACTCCGAACTACTGGTGGTAGCCTATTTGGACTGCTTTGCTGCTTTGTAATTATTATTAATTGCTTTATTGTCTTCTGGCAATTATTATTTTTTTCTCTAAATTATTTAAAACAATTTTGGGGGATTTTGGTGTTCTATTTTTGGAAAATTCTGACCTGATCTGTTTTGGGTTAATTTTGGTCCCATTTTTTTTTTTTTTTTTGAAACATTGAAAAAAATCTTGAAGTTCTAGGTATTCCTGTTTGGAAAGAATTTGAAAGTGCTTTGGAGTCTCTACTGTCTTTTCCTCTAATAATTCAATTAAATTTCTTAGACGATACGTCATTTGCTGAAATTACTCTTACCTGAGCAGATACTAGCCCCGCCCACCCACCCACCCTTTCTTTTCTTAGACGATATACCATTTACCAAAATCAGTCTTATCTTAGCAAGTACTGGTGACTCACTTTTACAAAAAATGATCAAAATTTGGAAACATTCCGATTTCTATCTAACATTACCAATCTAGAGACTTGTTTCAGTTCCACATCGTTGATGGCTAACTACAAATCCGCCTTATCTTTGCCTTCTTCTTCGCTCCATAGAGCTAGCGCTGGTTTCATTTTTGCCTTTAACTTGTTGTTATAGCTACATTGTATGAAGATGACAACCAACCGACCCATGACTATTTTCTTGAAGAGTTTAAACCCGTCCAGCAAATTGCGGCTTCCTCCCGTTCTTATCGTGTTATCATGTCCGTTTTAAAAATTGGCATCTTATGGGTGTGCGCAGCGCCCGTGGCCATCACGTCTTCCCATTATAATTAATGGAAGACGGGCATCGATACGAGCGCCGCATCCATCAAGTTAGCGGTGCTACCATTGCCGACCAGCATGTCTTTACTTTATGTACTAGGAAATTTGATCACAGAACTTGTTCTCCATTCATTTCTTCTTGTTGGTCACTTCTCTGATTATATCGTTAGCGCAAGTAATTATGCGGATAGAAAGCTCCAATTGACGCAAAAAAATCACATAAATTAGTTCACATTTGTAGGCAGATTAATTAATTCGAAATTAAACGCGCTCGCTTAATTTATGGTTGCGAGGTCTCGAAAAATTGCACATGCGAATTAGCGCTTTTTTATTTTGGTCGTGGTTTTTGCCAAGTCGGGCGATCGAAAAAATAGGCGCACGAGAAACGAGATGATTTATGCGGGATTTGGTAGTGAAATCGAGAAGTGGCAAGATTTATGCTTGTCGTAAATTTTCGCGTCGGGCTTGGTGAAGCTTTTACGCGACGATGGGGATTTACAAGGACCAAGTGTCAATAGGATCTTCATATGTCAGCGCACGACATGAAACAGGTTCAAAGAAGTTCAATTTTTAACTGAGACTGGACGAACAAATAATTCCAAACTCTTCGAAGAGGTTGATCGAGCAAGTGGCATCGCCTCGGGCAATACTACCACGAGAAGATTTAACCACCTTTCAGTCTAAAGTTTCTAGGACAAATCCGTCTCAAACCATCTTTTTTTTTCTTTAACACCTACACTGGTTACGCTTTTACTATGAGCGGATCTGTCGGTACCCAGGAGTGTAATATACAGAGAACCGTATGTAAGAAACAGTATTTATATTTTAGGTATAATTTTTATTAACACCGACAAAGGACCTATTTTAACTTCTTCCACTTAAAAAAAAATCGATTCGATATACTGACTGGAAAAGACAACCTTGCCGGTTTTCCAAATTTGAAAGGTTTGAGGGCAAAAGTAAATGAGCTCCCGGCTATCAAAAAGTGGATTGAAATTCGACCAAAAACTGAAATGTAGCTGAGTTTACTCTTTTTTTGACTTTATCAGAAAAGGTGAACATATTTTGTGACTTTCGCTCGATAATTCCATGATAAGTGTTGATAAGATGATATTATTCAATTTGTTTTTTTGTTATCATTAAAAAATATATTGCGAATATTGTTTGTTATTGAATAAAATTATCTGCATTTAAATTTTTGTTATTTCTTTTATCGTAAATTATACAACCTATGTATACAACATATTGACTACAATGTACCCTTTTTACTTCCCGAGCGTAAGCGAGGGAAGTACAGTATAACCTCTATAATCCGAACCCACGATTATCCGAACATCCAATAATCCGAACAGAGGCTAGTTGAAGTCGATATCTCTTTAAACCGAACGAAAACTCTGCAATCCGAACTGAATTTGAAAACATGACTCATTTTGGCAAATTAGTTTTATTATTAGTATATAATTTGCCAAAATCAGTTTTATCGTAACGAGTACTACTAGATTGTTCAATTTTTCGATTTTTCAGCTTTCGAATTATTCAATTTCCCGCTTTTTAAATTTTCAATTTTTTGATCTGTCTTTCGATTTTTGATTTCTCTGGGCAACTGAAAAAATGTCCGATTTTTTAATTTTACAATTGTGGCAGTTTTTTGTACAAATAAAGAAAATGAAAAACTGAAACGAAAAATTGCACATGGAAAAATTAAAAATTGAAAACTCGAGAAACTCAAATCGAAAAATGCAAAATCTAGAAATTGAACTGAAAAGTTGGAAAATTGAAAAATTTGAACTTGAAAACTAGAAAAAATGCAAATCGAAATAATTAGGAACAAAAAAAAATTAAAATTGACGCCACTGATTTTTATCTTATAAAGATTAGAAAGCAAAAAAATGATTTATTTGGCTGTACTTCAAGGGCGAGCAAAGTTCTGTTGGAATAACGTTCGACCAATTTTGTTTTAATGTAAAACCTTCTGGGGAGCCCCAAATCTCTTTTTTATGTGAAACTTTCTCGGAGTCCCAACTGTTTTTTTACAAATGTAACAACTTCTCGGGGCCCCAAATGCCTTTTGACTTCTCGAACGTAAATGAATTATAATATTCAGAATATTTTATTTAATTGTGGTTTAATTAATATATAATTTTAGTCCTGTGTTTTGAGAAGACAAACTCATTCAAATTAAACAAATTTCTACGTGACATTCTTTCGATATATAAACATAAACAATCGAAGTTAAGCATGTACACTGATAATAATACATTCTTTACAGTTGGCTGTATATATTTAAATTTAATTTATGTTTTATGTTACTAATTTTCCCAGCCTTATAAATCATGTATGATTTAAATAAGTGAATAAAAATTATTATTATTATTATTATTATTATTATTATTATTATGTACTTCAAGAGCGACGTAATATCTGTCGAAGTAAACTTTGACCAATTTTTTTAAGAAGGTGAAACCTCAGGGGTCGCAACTGGCTTTTTTAAAAATGTAAAACATTCTCGGAGGCCCCAGATGTATTTTTTTTTAATGTGAAACTTCGGGGGCCCCACTTGTCCTTTTTAAAAATATAAAACCTTCTCGGGTGCCCCATATATCTTTTTTTTTTAATGTGAAACTTTCGTGGGGTACCAATTTTCCTTTTTAAAAAAAGGCGAAATCTTCTTGGGGTTGCCAACTGTCTATTTTAAAAATATAAAACCTTCTCGGGGGCCCCAAATATATTTTCTTTTTAAGTGAAACCTTCTCGGGGGTCCTACTTATCTATTCTAAAATGTAAAACCTTCTCGGGGCTCCCAAATATCTTTTTTTAATGTGAAACCTTCTCGGGAGTCCCAACTGTCCTTTTTAAAAATGTAAAACCTTCTCGTGGGACCCAAATATATTTTCTTTTTAATGTAAACCCATCTCAGGGATCCCAACTGTATTTTCTAAAAATGTAAAACCTTCTCGGAAGTCCCAACTGTTTTTTTTTAATGTAAAACCTTCTCGGGGGTTACAAATATATTTTCTTTTTAATGTGAAACCTTCTCGGGGGTCCCAACCGTTTTTTTTTTTTTTTAATATAAAACCTCCTGGTTCCCATGTATATGTTAAACCCTCTCCGATGTCCCAAATATCTTTTGTTTGAAATGTGAAACCTTCTCGGGGATCCCAACTGTCTATTCTAAAATGTAAAACCTTCTCGGGGCTCCCAAATACCTCTTTTTTTAATGTGAAACCTTCTCGGCAGTCCCAACTGTCTTTTTTAAAAATGTAAAACCTTCTCGGGGCCCCAAATATATTTTCTTTTTAATGCGAAACCTTCTCGGGGGTCCCAACTGTCTATTCTAAAATGTAAAACCTTCTCGGGGGTCCCAAATATGTTTTTTTTTAATGTGAAACCTTCTCGGGGGAGAACCGTATGTAAGAAACAGTATTTATATTTTAGGTATAATTTTTATTAACACCGACAAATGACCTATTTTAACTCTTCCACTTTAAAAAAATTCGAATTTGTGTTTGGAAGTCGGTATATATTTTGACGTTTTGTTCTTTTGCAGACGGACCCTCCGAATTCCCATGAGTGTGGTAGACACGGGCCTCCCTTGGCTTCGGTACTTGCCCCCGCTGCCCCTCAGCCTGCCGCTCACCATGCGCGAAAAGGACTCCTCCCCCCGCAAGATGCTGGTGGCCTCCGGCGGCCACAGCTCGCCCAAGCAGGCCGCCGTCTACCCGCTGTCCGTGCGAGTTCCTCCGGGGGACGAGATGCCCTTCGACCTGTCCCGCAACACCCGGTCCCCGGGCCCCCACATGTCGCCCGCCGGGCGGCCGCCCCCGGGCCCCCAGGACGGTGACGATCAGCCCCTCGACTTGCGCGTCGAGCACAAGAAGCTGTCGCTCATGATCATCCGGAGGCAGGTGGAGGACGAGAACCGCAACCTGATCTCGCCCGCCGTGAGCGTGAGCAGCGACAAGGACGACGTCATCGTGGACGAGGGCGGCGCCGCGGCCAAGGCGTTCAGCCCGCAGATCCCCGGCTACCCGGGCATGCTGTTCCCGCCGCAGCCCATCCACCCCATGATGCTCGAGGCCATGTACCGGGCGCAGGGCGAGAAGGTGCCGCGGCTGCCCATCCCGTATCCCAGCTCGCCGCCCGGCTACCACCAGCGGTACCCGTTCCTGAGCCCGTCCATGCTCAGTCCCCCGGTGAACCAAGTTCCTTTCGACATGCTGAGGACGAGCGCTCCTCAGGCGCCCAAAGTCTTCGACGCCGCCGGCGGCAAGATGAAGGACAGGTACGCTTGTAAGTTCTGTGGTAAAGTTTTCCCGAGGTCGGCGAATCTGACGCGGCATTTGAGGACGCACACGGGGGAGCAGCCCTACAAGTGCCGGTACTGTGAGCGCTCGTTTAGTATCTCGAGTAATCTTCAGAGACACGTGAGGAACATTCATAACAAGGAGAAGCCGTTCAAGTGTCCGTTGTGCGAGCGGTGTTTCGGGCAGCAGACGAACCTCGACAGACATTTGAAGAAGCACGAGGCCGACGGGCCGACGATACTCGACGAACGCAACCTCCAGAGACGGACCATGACGCCGAGGAACATGAGCGAGGAGTCGTACTTCGAGGAGATCCGGTCGTTCATGGGCAAGGTGACCGACGGGCGGTTGCTGCAGCACCTGCAGCCCCCCAAGCAGATGGCGAACTTCCCGATCGCGCTGCCGCCGAAGCTGTTCGACGGGCAGGGCCAGGAGAAGCCGACGAGTCCCGACGACGCCAAAAGAGACTCCTCCTACTTCTCGGACAAGGACAACTTCTCGTCGCGGTCGTCGAGCAGCTCGGAGAAGGACGACGAAGACAAGAACCAGGACAAGAGCGAGGAGTGCGCGAAGATGGACGAAGACATCAGCAACAACAACACATGATCGACGGTAAAATTGTGATACGCGTTTGTGTCCGGTTCGGCCGGCGCATCCGTTCGATTTTGGTACAAATGAAAGTGAACCGAATCAAATTGTAATTTATCGATTAAAGCGGTGCCAATTGACGATCAAGTCCGACGGCACTCCCGAAGAAAGCTCACGTGGTTCGCCACTCAGATTGTGATTATACGTATTACAAAACCAAATTGTTGTTCACATTCTCGCTCACACTTAATGAGGAGTTTATTCTCGAATCGATTACGCAATCGCCGCGTTCAGAGAGACCAATTAAATCAAAAGAAGATGCCGTATTTTATGCGGACTTTTATATCCTAATTTGTTTTGGGGGCACCGCCCGACCGACGTTTCTAAATTTACGAACGACCATTTTCTCGCAGTGTACCTATGTGTCGCGACGCGAAAATCGAATCCTTATGGCCTCGTTCGCTTTTCCAAAAACCGACCAGGAAGTGTCCCAACGCCACCACACACACAAGAATCCGAAACCTGCAACACCAGTCTTAATTAAGAACGGAAATCGACGCGAATTAACCATAAACGTAGGCAATTAAGAGTGATAGTTGAGACACAAATTACCCGTTTCGTATATTTTAAAGTAAATCGCGTCGTTTTCCTAATTGAATCATAGAAGAAAGTTCGGTACGACTTTCCAGAAAAACCTTTTTTTCCTCGCTCGCAACCAGTTATTGGAAAGATGCGTATCGGATGGGAACGGATGTCAAGAGCGCTTCACAATGTAAAAGCGGCTCATATATTCCATAAATTTTAGAGTTTTTTGCGAATCGCAGCGATTTATGGGTGGAAAATATGGAGTTATGGTCATACCGTGGAAGTAACGTTACGCAGCGGACGATAACGATTATTCCAGTACGGCCCTGGAGCGTTCTAATCTACAATAATCTAAGACATGTTCCTCGTGTTGCTACAACAATTCAGAATCGAGATAATGGCTTTAATCAAATAAATGTCTATATTTATGGCTTTGGGCGAAAACATGTTGTGTTTTCAACGGTTCTTCTTCGATTTAGAAATAGTGCAGTGGCGTAACAGAGCTCGAGGGCCACATCTCCACAAAAATGAGGGCAAGGCTCGGACTTTTAATTATCGGGCAAAAATTTGCACCAAGTTCACTTCGTCGCCTTGCCTGCGGTCGACTTTTTTCCGAAGCTCTCTTTGTCTTCGCGACTTTCACACAATTCATTTTTCGCTAATGAATATTGATGACCCGCGAACTAATCTCCGGATTGCCCAATTTCCCGGGCCCACCTCTCGAATCCATCACCATCCAGCGCTTTTTTCGCTGCAGCGCGACCATCTGCTCCTGCATTTTGCATGAGGTCATCTCGAGATTAGTACCTCGGAGTAAAATAAAATTCAAACTAGTTCAGTTTCTTCTCGGCAAGGAAGTGGGTGGAACTAACAGCGTCCAAGCCCGAAGGCATCTCTTTAACTGACTCCGTAAACGATACGCTCGCGAGATTTAACATAGATAAATCCGTTTTGAAAGAATAACAGGCTGCTTTACGCCGGACAATAAATTATGCGGAACGGTACCGGTGCGGGCTAGGGTGGAGCTAGATGGACATGTGCGAAGAGATGGGAGATTTTTATCAAGGCGGTGTTAAGTGAATTTGGCGGCGGGAAGAGCCGTTAGACGGGCTTTGATTTAGAGACGGCGATGCATAAAATCTTTCTTGGGAGAACGGCTAGAGCTTTTTTTAATTAGCGGCGTTTTTGGTGATTGCGTCTGTGCTTTTTCACTCTTTTCCTTTCCCCAGTGAGGTCAGTCGACTTAGACACCACAAAATTCTGTCATCTCCTCTCCTTTCACACGCTTCTCACAACACACAAACCGTTTAACGACCATCTCACACTCTTTAACGTCCTCATCAACGCATTATCCGCTACTGTGCCATCCAGCCCGTCATCATCTCTGTAATTGCTTCCAGACGCTACTAATGACACATCGACTACACAACAATCTATTATTTGTTTAACCTTTCGCCACGACACCGATTCATGTCATCATCTATTACGCATGATCGATATTAACACATGCCAGAAAAATCCATCGACATGGGTACCATACCTACCATGGCATTCTAATTTAATTGTGAATGTTGTTTTCGCACAATACCATCATTCATTGCTGTCGTTTGAACTAATATGTTGGAGCTGATTTTCCTGCAGCATCATTCGTCATGGATCGAGATTTGCATAAAAATTCTAGCGGAGATTACACGTGGTTGGAAGGTGATCATTAATTATGGGTTTGGTGTTGGAGGTGTTGGGGATTTTGTGTCTTCTAATTGAAAAATGTTTACTATATGTTTTCATCTTTTACTCATTTCTTTTTTCTTTCTTACTGTTAAAAAAATATTCTTATAATTTATTTTGCATTATAAATCTGGCTACTTTCTGGTAACTTTGTACATCTTTTTCTTTCTTTTCTTCATTCTTTTTCATCTTTATTGCTTTGAGCTTTTGATCTTCTTATCATTTTTGTACAACTGAAGCAAATATCAAAATTTGAAACATACTAAAGTGGAAAAAAAGATAACCATAATATTTTAATGTCTTATTTCAATGTGTGGTGTCAAAAATTGCCATTTCGTAAAGCGAAAAAAGCTCACTACATTGTGGAAATTGATTAAAATTGTATGAAAAGGTCGAGAGTTCTGTGAATTAATTTCCTCAAAAAATTTTAAACAAAAGAAAATTTTGAATGTTCCTTCTGAGAAAAAAGTAGAAACTGAAATGTTTTCTTCATTTTAGCCTGCCACTGAAAAACATGTACTGAAAAATATAAAAACTCTGAAAATACAATAAATTTACTCAAAACATACATTATACTATGTTCAGATTAATGAAATGGCTAATTGAAAAATTTAACGAAACATTTTTTTAACAGTTTTCTGATACTTTTTCATTAATTCTTTTGTTATAGTTTTCTATTTTCTCAATTTTTCATTTTCCTCATCTTTTATTCATTTCTTTGTATCCTTATAGATCTGTTTCTACTATTAATCATTCTCGCAGCTTTTTACACCTTTTTTCTGTTATTATCTTTCACCTTATTTCTCTGACATTTTTACAACTTTCAAACTAGAATTAGAATTCGGCAATTTGTTAAAATGCAAAAAATCATGTTTCCACTTTCTTAATGTAAAAGTTAAAAATATAGTAAATAAAAAACTCGCTGCATTATCGAAATTAATCAAACTGGTACGAAAAATTCGAAAATTCTATGAACATTTAATTTTTCAAAAATTTTAAACAAAAAGAGAATTCTGAATGTCTTTCCGATAAAAAAGTAGAAATTGAAATATTTTCTTCATTTTAGCTTGCCAATGAAAAAGACAAGATAAATTTTACATGTCCTGAAAAATGTAACAACTCTGAAAACATAATAAATAAACAAATTTATTTAAAAAAAAAAACACTTTATACTATGTATTTATTTAATGAAATAGCTAATTGAAAAATTTAAAGAAATATCTTCTTTTTACAGTTTTCTGATACTTTTTCATTCCTGTTCTTCCTTTTTACTTTTTCTTACTTATCCTTCTTTTCTTATTTCTTTCTGTACTCCCAATTCTTCCATTTTCTTCATCTTTCACTCATTTCTTAGATCTGTCTCTGCTGTTAATCATTGTTGCAACCTTTTATATCTTATTCTTTTTCTTCGTTCTTTTTTTCATCTTTATTTCTCTAATATTTTTGTAAAAAATGCAAAATATTCTTTGGATCCTCATTATTTTTGACAACTTATGCAAACCCAAAAGCTTAATATATAGTAAATAAAAAGCTCAATACATTATCGAAATTAATCAAATTGCTATGAAAAGTTCGAGATTTCTATGAGGTGAAGCTTTCATTTTCCCAAAAATTTTAAACAAAAAAAAAGAGTCTTTCCAAGAAAAAGTAGAAACTGAAATATTTCCTTCATTTTAGCTAGCTAGTAAAAATCATAAGGTACATTTTACATGTCCTGAAAAATGTAACAACTGTAAATTTATACAATGTATGTTTTGATTTAATGAAATGGCTAATTGAAAAATTTTTTTAAAAATGTCTTTTTACAATTTTCTGGTACTTTTTCATTCCTGTTCTTCCTTTATACTTTAGTCTATTTTTCTTACTTATCCCCTCTTTTGTTATTTCTTTCTATACTCCCAATTCTTTCATTTTCTTCACTTTTCACTCATTTCTTTTATCATTATAAATCTGCCTCTGCTATTAAACATTGTCGCAACTTTTTATATCTTATTCTTCTTCTTCGTCCTTCTTTTTCATCTTTATTTCTCTGATATTTTTGCAACTTTCAAACCAGAATTAAATTTCTACAGTTCATTATTTTTGCACAACTTTTGCAAAGATAAAAGTTTACAACATATAAATAAAAAGCTCACTACATTGTCGAAATTAATCAATATGATATGAAAAGTTCGAGAGTTCTGTGAATTTTTAATTTTCTGGAAAAACTTAAACAGAAAGAAAATTCTGAGTTCCTTCCGAGAAAAGCGCAGGAACTGAAATATTTTCTTCATTTTAGCCTGTTGGTGACATAAGGTAAATTTTACGTGTCCTGAAAAATGTAACAATTCTGAAAATATAATAAATGCACAATTTACCAAAAAAAAAATTTTATACATACTATGTACTGATTTAATGAAATGGCTAATTAAAAAATTTATAGAAATATTTTTTTCTACATATAGTTTTCTGGTACTTTTTCATTCCTGTTCTTGCTTTCTTACTTTCCTCTCTTTTATTATTCCTTTCCATACTTTCAATTCTTTCATTTCTTCATCTGTCACTCATTTTTTTGTATCATTATAAATCTGCCTCTGCTATTAATCATTCTCGCACTTTTACATTTTTTTTTCGCTATTCTTTTTCATCTTCATTTCTCGAATACTTTTACTACTTTGAAACTATAATAAACTTCAATAAAATACAATGAAAAGATTTGTGAACCTTTAATTTTCTCAAATTTTAAACAAAAAAATATCTTTTCGAGAAAAAAGTTCAAACTGAAGTATTTTTTTCATTTAAGCCTACCATTCAAGAACCTAAGGTAAATTTTACGTGTCTTGAAAAATGTAGCAATTCCGAAAATGCAATAATTGCAGAATTTACTCAAAAAAAAACTTTATAAGAAAAATGTAAAAATTGTTTTTTTTTTCAGGTTTCTGGTACTTTTTCATTAATGTTATTTCTTTCTTACTGGCTCTGTCTTCTTTATTCCTTTCTATACTCTCAATTCTTACATTTCCTTCATCTTTCACTAATTTTTGTATCATTATAAATCTGCCTCTGCCATTAATCATTCTTTTTTACATCTATTTCTTTTTTTCGTCATTCTTTTTCATCTTTATTTTTCCAATTTTCAAACTAGAACCAAAATTCTGCAAAATGCACACAAAGTTCGAGAGTTCTAAATTTTCTCAAAAATTTTAAATAAAAAGAAAGTTGCCTGTGTTCCTTCCGAAAAAAAAAAATAAAAACTGAAATATTTCCTTCATAAAACTAAATAAATAAAAAAACTTAACAATTACTTTTTTGTTTTAATTTAATTATTTTGACAAATATAAAATTTCAAAAAAAATTAAATCCTTCCCTTAATGTACTTCTTTTTTCGCTAGTTTTACATTTTTACAACTATATCCACTTTGCAGTGTTTATTTTAAGTGTATATTTCACATAATTTTTTTTGTGAAAATCTTTGTTAAACGTTTATTGAAGGCGAAATAAACTCATAAAGAACAATTTACAAGTTCAAAAAAAATAAAAACAGACTTCCTTTTGTCTTTTCTTTCTTCTTTTAATGTTTCGTTTTCATTTCGTTTCTTTCTGGGCTGTGGTGATGGAATTTTTAAACTCATCATTACAAAACTAATTTGGAAAAATTGTTAACTAAGATCTTCCGAAAATCAACTTTCTCCTGAATGAAGACAATTTAAAATTGTAAAAAAAATTAAAAAATGAGTCGTCTCGAAAATTTTCAATATTCCAGAGATCATAAACAGAGAATTTAAAGGAAAAAGAAATTTAAGAATACAAAATCCTTAAAATAACAAACTAGGTGACTGATCATTTTCAATACATTACTCATTAATTAAATAAATAAACTGTTATAAAAAGCATGAATTCTTAGACAACAAAAAACCAGTGCGAAAACCACAAGAACGTGTAGACGCAAACTTAATTAATAAATCCATTAATTACGATACACATGCAATCTAGTTCCTCGTCTTTTTTCAATGACTTCTCCATTCAGGATGTCCTTACACGTACACAAGAGAAAAAAGACATCCCGTATTCAGTCCGCAACCCAAAATAAAATAAAACGTTCTCAATTAAGTGCACCATTAGAAAAAAGAATCGTGACATAAAAAACTCCGATTTCAGTTTTAACGTTGACTTACTGCTTTAAGCCAGTGTAACACATTTCCGCCGTAGCAACAAAAAATAAACGTCTAACTATAGCCGAACAATTTACTTCCTAGATGACGTTTCAGCTTAATGTATCAAGCTTCAATCACGGACCGAAACGCTCTGATTTATGTTTCCTGTTTTAATTAAATTTTGACACTTCATCCTCCTCAGTGAAAGTATCACCCAATTTCCTAACTTATCCCTTCACACTTTTACTCAACACATCTTCATTTTGCCATCTTTTTATTTATTAGCGTTAATCGAAAACTAATCCATCGCACTTTCTCTCTCTGTTCTGGAACGATTCCTCCACCGATGACGTCAAGTTGTTAATCGCGGAATGTCGTAATCCCCGAAAAAACCTCGTACATCGTATGACTAATCCTCAAAAATTTCAACACAGTAGTCCTTGATTCGCAGGAATTCGGCCGAAATTCATTTCGGGAGCCCAGGGCGAAAATGCTAATTCCCGCCCGATTTGCATACCGACCGTCTTTTGTCTTTTTCGAGCGTTTAGAGATCGCACTTTCATCAAACTGGAGCGACTTTCTTTTGCTATAAATAATAATTTTATAAATTTTTCTAATTAACGGTGACAGTTTCACTTTTATCGCGAGAAATTCAATTCCGACTTTTTCGACGCAAACAACTTTTTGTTGTACCGTTCGAAGCTCGGCGTTAGGACATAAATCTCACACAATGGCCGTGTTCGGAATTAACATAAATGCGTTGTAGCTATTTCACGCAGATTAACTTTAAGAGCTTATCGCTAAATTAATATTTAATCTTGCGTTTGTTGTGGCTGCTTTATCTGATCGGCTTTTCGCGGCGTTCGTCGCGTGATCTACCGTTGAAATCGCGACGAGAATGGACGGAAAATGTGGTAGCGAGGACGAGCCGAGGAGGAATTTAACAGAATTCCGAAATACGGAGAGTGTAATAATGTTGTGGATTTATAACGCTTTTTGTGTCTTGTGGCATTTTTATTTAATTGATGGTTTCATAAATAAACAGAGTCATTAACATTTCATTCCTCAAGTTTCTATGAATATTTACCATTTTTGGCATAGAATGCTTCAGTCGTAATTATGTGAATGAGATAATTTTCTTTGAAAGGCTAAAAGCTTTTAGAAGAAGTGGCAGATGAAAGTTATTATTATGGGATTTTTTTTTTTAATATTGTTACGAACGCTTTTGGGACAACTGTGAAAGCACAAATCACCATAAAAGTGGTCTATCCTAGTCTTCCGCATTTTACCTTCTTCTTCTTCCTAGAACTTCCCTTTTTTTACACTGATTCTTCCAAATTTCTTCTTTTTTATTCTCTAAATACTTTACACCGTTTTTCTACTCTTTTATAAACTCGTTTTCTTTTCGCATTACTT